GAGCCACTCGAGACGAAATGGCACTGGGCACCAGGAGCGTGGCAAGACTCGACCAGGACCAGCGCCTTCCAACCATACAAGGTACTCCTCTCTCAGCCTTCTTGAACTCCATGGGACATCGATATCGACCTCAAGAATCAAGGGATTCACCCGTTGCGACAAAGAAGTTATTGTAATACCGTCGCCTGTAGGCCATAGAATATTTATATTTTATAACTAAATATATAAGATCTATTTTTTATACAAAAGCTATGAACATTACAGTTTACTTCATCAGGGTGAGAGCAGCCTGATACAGTATCAGACTGCTCTTTGTCCTGATAAAGTAAATTGCAATGTTCACGAAACATTGGCATTCTAATGATGGACAAGGAGAGCTTATAGCTTCTGTATAGAAAGTACCCGTGGATGCTTCGAAAGTATTATTCATTTTTTATCTATTTGTAGCCACCCACTCTGCTCACAAATTTGCAAAGAGGCAATACTCAAACGCAAATACATCAGCTCTATGTGGGCAACGATATCACGTTTCATACCTTAGCAGGTCAGGGGGAACTTACATCTGATCATATACATTCAAGTAAATTATATGTATACACTGTACACATTACCTTATGGTGAATTCAGTCATATGTACTACATTGAATTAATACACACACACACACACACACACACACACACACACACACACATTTTTTAAAAAAGCTGTTTTATATAAAATATAATTATATAAAAATATTAATTTAGTTAATTTTATGTATAGTTATTGTAGCATCTAGTAATACAAGTAACCGAATTCACCATTATTGTCTAAATTGAAATACAAATTGTTGTAAAGTAATACATCTTTGTGCTACACAGACTCAGTGGATATGACTGATGAACAGGGCTTAACCGGATTGATGTGGGCCAGTGCGTACGGACAAATAGGTAGTGCTAAACAATTGCTCAAAAGAGGCGCCAATATAAATCGTTGTGGACCAAACTCACAAACCAGTCTACACTTGGCAGCCGCCTATGGTCATCACGATGTTGTCAAATTATTGTTAAATCATGGAGCTGACCCTAACGCATGTGATGAGGTACACACATCTCTTTTTTTAAGTGTAAACTTAATTTCTGGTATCATGTGTCATATAATTATATTTCTGTGCTGTAGGATGGTAATACTCCATTAATATATGGAGCACACTGCGATCATCCACATGTATGCTATGAATTATTAATAAAAGGTGCAGAAATAACACTTACAAATGCCTCAAATGTAAGTGCTTATAAAGCAGCGATTATGAATAATTCAATGAATGGTATGTATTTTCTTTTAAAAACATTTAAAAGGACCTACATGAAAATAGTAAATTTGATTTTTATTAATTTGCAGCTAAAGCGGTTATTGAGAATCATTTGATACCACAAATTATAAGTATGCCAACAGATGAGTTATAACGATATTTGTTTTATTAAATTGTAACATTAGTTTGTATATTATACGTTTTTACAAATTGTAAATAAAAATGAATAACCGTATTTTTGTCGTTTATGTATAAGAAACATTTTTCTATACAGCATATTTTTAACAATAATTTAAAAAAACATTGCAACACAACGTGAAATATTTTCCGAGACGAGGTAACATAAACTTACGAACGAGTAACAAAATTTGATATATATATTTGGTAATACAATCTTTTGCAGGAGCTATTGCAATACTAAAATATATCGAGTAGAAAGTAAATATGATAAATTCAAAATCATTCGCGTATGAATTATATATAACCAAATTTAGTTCAATTAAAATATATCTTCTTTTTTTACAAATGTGTATAAGTATTCGGCACTGGACAGTTGTTAAATAGCATATTAAATTGATATATGTATATAAATATAGCAAATGACAAATATATCAATGTTTAATGGATCACGTAAAAATGGCTGTATGGCAATAAAATTGAAATTCAAGTAGTAGTCAATCTTGATTGTTGATCGTAACATTATGCTTTCTCACTGAACTGTGCCTATTTTCATATTCTTACATACGCAAATACTTTTCATCTATTATCCATAATGTCTTATACAACTTCATAATTATCGGTAAAGAACACTGATTCGACTGAATACTTAACTGGGCTCTGATCTTCTACAAGTAGAACTTCGCTAACCTGAAAAATAAAAATAACATTATTTTTATATGATATAATTTGCGCAACACATAAAAATCCATGTATTCTATACCTTAATTTTAGCATACGGCGTTTTAGATGTAAACGAAATGTGAAGTGGGAAGAAATCTGCAGGTGTAGATGATGGGGCTGAAAATTCCATAGAGCCTGATTTTGTTGAAGCATCGATCACTGGTAGGGACCAAACTAACGTATTTCGTCGTGCTTCGTGCGTATACTGTCCGTCGCATTCACTGACGATAGGATTACATCCAATAGCTAGAGGAATGTTTATTTGGACGTCGTTCAACTCAAGATCGGCCTGTTCCAATTCATATTCGATATTCACATCGCAGCCGCCATCTCCGTTTTCAGAAGGCCAGCAATTTACTATTATTACAAACAAGTAATGTATATTCATATATTTCATAATTTAAAAGAAAGTTTATAAAAAAATAAAATCGTATATGACAATTATTATTGTAGCCTTACTTGAAATTGGTAATGCTGTTTCATCTTGAGCTTGAAAACGCCATTTCAGCACACCAACGTCAGTATTCAATGGAAATGGTTTTGTAGGTACTTTCAGACCTATCTGTCCATGCGATCTAAACAATTCCTTGTCCACATTTGGATGAGTTTGTAACTGTATTCCTCTTGTGTCGCTGTTCTCGACTTGCACACGGATACGTCCCCATTTCTCGTCAGAAATGTGTAAAGTTACCAAGCCATGCAACTCGAAATTTTGTAAACCTCCATCCCGACCGACACGTACATTAAGTCGTTCTTCTTGTCTTAAGTGAACCCTTTTGATGGAAATACATTTAAATAATTTGTTCGCGAATGATTTTGAAGCTCCTATATATTGTCAATGTAACATACAATTCTGAGTTAATTATCTGAGGAGTTTGCGTTGATTTTGTTCCAAGAACAGCAAGTGGTCCTGATACGACATTTTCTCCTTCTTCCTTTAATTGATCAACGAATGAGTCTACATCGCGAGACTTTCCACCTAATTTCATTGCACCTGGTCCAACATTTAGTGGTTTCCTAATAAAAATAATAATTATAGTAAAAATTTTTACATTTACAAATACAATTACAATCAAGATTAAAATTGATCATACAGCTTGGGCTTGTAAGAAGGTCTAATCGGTTCAGGCACAAAGTTAGCTGTATCACCAACAGACGGAGTAGCTGGGCTGCTACCGCTTCCGTATCCTCCGCCATATCCGGGACTTTTAATTCCGCCTTTTTTGTTAGCTTCCATCATCCTTTGCCTTTGCAATTCTTTTGCCTTCTCACGCATCTTGTTTTTAGCTTCACGCTCTTGCGTCATTCGGACTGCTTGATAAACCTTCTCTTCATGTGAATCCATTTCTACAAAGGTTCTGATTTGTGCTAAATTGACATTCTCTCTATAACCTAATGCAACTATTTCATCAAATGCAAATATCAAATTGAACGCATTCTCTGCTATTTCAAGTTCATCCATTGAGTTGCAATATTCTGGAATCTGTAGAAATCGAACATTATTGTACATATATTTAACGCATATATAATTAATATCTACAGTAATGGGTTTTATCTATAGTATACTGGAGCGAGCTTTCCCTATACTAAATTATAAAAAACTGCATCTTGACGGAAAAAAGGAAGACATGAATATTTGTCTTTCTGACTCTGTCCTTTACTTATGGTAGTAAAATAATATTAGCCAATCAGCAAATTCCTGACAAAGAGAACAGTCTTTACATCAGATTATTATTGTCTAGGAATTAGACAGGGTTGACACAAAAAAATCCAGTTTACAAAAACCCAGATGCATGTCAAATTTCATTATTTTGTATAATATTGATATACCTTTGCATTTTTAAACAAAATCTCAATAAACTAAAAAAATGCTCGTGTTTTTTGACCTTTCTAACTACTAATTTTTGCTTAACAATCTCGAACTAGATATTTTATTTTTATGTATTTCAATTCATTTATGTTAGTTCAATTATAATTAAACATTGAAAAGAAAGATACAATATATTAAAAACATAAAGTCATATCACCGGTTGAACATAATACATTTAACATTACGAATAAAATTATATAAATTTGATAAATCTTTAACGTTGTCTTGTTGTCAAGTGAGTTTAACAATTTCGTCATTGGATGGCCAGAAAAAGCTTTTTCGAAAGTTTTTAAAAGGAATCAAATAATGTTTTATCAAATCATTCCAAATATACTATGGTAATACATTTCATAAATTAGATGAAAAAAAAAACATTAATTGTCTATTAAGAGAATATGTATTGATCTATGTAAATCAAATATTTCTAATTAAAAAATTTTTTTCTTTGAATAATATAGTATCTTATCTAATTTTTTATTTGCCTTATAATGTTTAAATTGTAAGTTGTAAAAGAAATTATTAAAAAAATGTGATAGAAAAACATTATTAGAAATACATAATTTTTAAAAATGTACTTATGATATATATGGCTCTTGTAAGTTTACAATTAATATCAATCCAACGTTTCAAAGTTAAAGCCTCATGATCACCGAAGTATTGGTAAATTAAATTAAAATAATAACGATGAAATTTAAATAAAAAGTTATTAGAACGCATTGTACGATCTGCGTGCAAATAAATTGAAATGTGTAAAATATCGAGATTGCTAAGCAAAAATTAGTAGTTAAATAGGTCAAAAAACACGGGCACCGTTTATTGGATCTTTAAAAATAAACTAGTTTATTACAACATACATTAAGAATTAAACTAGTTTTTTTATCTATAAATTAATCGGAAACCTATTGCAATGATTTCTTAACATAAATGATATTAATAAAATGCTGGTCCTAAATCCTGGTAGTATCTGTTGGACGACTTTTTGAGATTATGTTTTTGTCGAACAGATACTACGCTTTTAAAACAATGGATGGCTGTACTAGAACAAAAACCCACAAAACCCACAGAAACCCACAAAAACTCTAAAAATTTAGGTTTTTCTGGAAAAAACTTTTACCAACTCTGGAATTAGGACACTTTTACTTCTCAATGACTCACTCTAATATATCAAGAATGTGTTTTCCTTAGCGTTCGCAATGCTCACGAGCATCTTTTCATTCTTGTTTAGCATTTGATAAACAACAAAGACTAAATGATGCTTGCAACATTACGAAGGCCAAGTAGAACACACCCTATAGAATTCAATGATCCATAAGAATATTTTTATGATCCAATAACATATCTACTTACCACTCTCGCAAAGAGTCTTAGAGTTTCCAAATCCTCTAAAATATTACTGGCCTTAGTCGTGATAAGCAGCATGTATACTTTCTCAAGGGGCTGATAAACATATCTAACAGATTCCGTTTCCACAAATGTATGCTGTTTACCCGAGCTCATTAGTTTCGGGAATGCAGCAAGTAGGCCTTCTATCCTTGCTTTTGTCATTTCAACAAACTGTCGAGAAATGATAGCTAGAAAAGAGTAATACAAACCGTGATGATGAAATAGTGGCAGCAAATTTTTTTTTCAAATTACTTAATTCTATCGATAAAAATAGGTTCAAGGAAGCAGAAAATTATGCGACTTTTCCTTACAACCGACCGACTGATACTCGTTCCTCAACAAATAGGACAGAATGTGGATTATAGATATGAGGTAAAAGCATCATGTGATTAGTAGCTGACACTATTAAAACGAGACACGCATACGCGACGTGTATATGGCAGTGGAGCAACGCAAGAACGTTTTGTGAACTCACTTTTCCCAGATTTGGTGCATACCGCAGCGGCGATGAGTACCTAAAAAAAAAAGAAGCATACAATACCACATAAATTTAGCTGTAGAATTAAATGCCTGGCGGGCACACGCCGTTAAATGGATGACATCTGTGGACGATGTCATGAGCGGCTCCGCCGCTCCAGGATTCCTTTTTCAAGAAACAGAATTTTGACAACAATCCCACAGCTGCGGAAGAAAATCACTTACCATCCTGATGAGTGATTCTGCAACGCTTCGTGTATGCGATTTAATGTATTTCCTTATCGTACACGACCGACCTTTCCAAATCACACTCCATATACAAATACACGAACAAGGAAAACAGAGGGCGCGCTGTGCTGACGTGTGCCATGATGAAAGACCGAGAGACGTCTCGTCATGGATCACAATAATCGTAGTTGGAAACCTACGAAGGGTATTCGCAGATCACGTGGGCGCGATGATGCAGTTGGATGCAGTCATGCGTCATCCAATCATATTGCCGGAAGAATAGTAGTCCAAAATAA